CCACTTGTCGGGAAATATTTAGGCCTAAACATGCAGAACTACAAAATAAAAAATAATAAATTACTTTTATTATCTCTAAATGATTGAGGTAATTAATCCAATTAACCCTAAGTTTAAATAATCACATAAACGTATAGATCAAAAGCAATAAAGTAAATAACACTAGATCACGGAGGAAAACCCCTTCTCAAGATTAAAAACTTGCTAGTAAAATCTACAAGAAAAGTTAACTTATAATTAATCCAGACAATGCTAAACCTTAGCTGACTCTGACCATCTAATTAGTAAATCACCAATGAACTCCTTTGGTTGTGTGACCTACACTTTCCAACAATTTCGGACTACTTTCTCTCTGCATGGATCACCAAGAATGAGCTTGTTTCATAGCATTGAAACTCCAAGTGTGTCTTCTCCCAACTTCAGAACTCTGAAGATTCATATGTGAATGTAGGGTTTTTGTTGTTCAATATAATAATCTTTTGTGTTTTGATCTGTGGCTGAGGCAAAAGAATATCGGAATGTGAATTTGAACTTCAATGGAATATTTTCTTAACTTAAAACAAGGCTTAACCAACAAAAATATGTTCAGGATAACTTTATGGAACAATGATATTGCGTTGAATAAAGAGATCATTTGATCTTCAAATATTGATCTCTATAATGAAAATAATGTTCAATCACCCTTTGGATGAAATACGACATGTATATTTATAATAGACAATTTTAGAGGTTTAATATGATTAAAAAATGGTTGGAAAATCATGAAATGGACTCCTATACGTCGCATCATCGCTCGAGTGTTGTCCTGCGCCAAGCGAGCGAGGCTCTTATTTTGAGCGCTTGAGCACTCAATGTGCAGCTAGCGAGTATTTTTGCACCAACTTTTTCTCCTTGGTCCATATTTGAAATCTTTGACTTTTTCAATGATAACACATTTGTGTCAAAGATACCTAAGATAGTTATGTCATTTATGGCTTTACATTAACAACAAGTTTACAGTTGGTAGTAGCGATAAGATGATCAAATCTACAAAAATATGTTGTATTCAAGATTTGATATAAAAAGTTATGGGGTCAACTGATATTATACTTGGAATTAAAATTTCAAGATTGTCAGATGAACTCGTTCTAAGCCAATCATATTATGTAGACAAAATTTTGGAAAAAAATTAACAAAAATGATTCTGGCATGACTAGAACACCAATATATACAAGTTAGCATTCATCTAAAATAAATGTGAAAGGTAGAATACTCTAGAATTATTGGAAGATTGGTGAACTTGATGAGTAGATATATGAGCAATCCAAGAGTTGACCACTAGAAAGGTATTAAGAGTTCTGAGATACTTAAAATATACTCGTAGCTATTGATTGTAATATACCAGATATTCAGCAGCCATAGAAAGATATATTGATTATAATTAGATTTCTGATATAAAGGACCAAAGTCGATGAGTGGATTTGTATTCACATTAAGACGTGCATCTATACCATGGAATTAGAATTTATAGCTTTTAGACAAATCTGAGGAAGAGACAGAGTGGCTATACAGCTTCTTAGAAGATATTTTAAAATGGTTAAAACTTCAGCAATTTGCATCGAAAGGATATTGCGGATCACTAACCAAAGGATTAAATAAAGAGTTAGTTGGAAAGTCATCGAAAGGAATCGAATTTAAGCCCTTGAACGAATGAGTTAATACAAATGAAACCTAACATAGCTGGCTGGAGATCCCAAGATCTAGGCTCAAAGGACAACTTAATTGTAAAGAATGTATTGAATCACTGTAGGAGATAACATTTTCTGCCCATTCCCATGATGTAACAATGATGTCCGTAAAGATGGAGGATAAGTAATACGCTTTTAGTAGTTCTTATGCATAAAAAATCGAGTAGAGTAATATAAGTCACTTGTAATAAGAAATCACCTATGTGAGAGAGAAATGAGTTCGTTTTAAGGAAATTGTGTTTGGCTCATTTCTTAGAAACTCTTGTAAAACTAGTTGTATGTTTATGACCAGCAATGCACATAACAATGTGAACTAAATTATCTATGAAAGAATTCTGTATAGAGTACTTCATCTAAATAAAAGAAAGAACAGTTAAAAGACATCGTGTCTACTGGTTAGTTAATAAAGCAAATATAGTTTTTATAAGGGAAGGTTCAAAGGGCAATATCTACTTATCCTATGTCCAATATATTGAATAATACTCAACAAGACTCGATGTCCCTGGATGTGAGAGGTTCTCTTATTGTATTGAACAAAAATCACCACTAAATATGGTAGCAATCAATTACCATATTAACCAATGGTAACCTATAATTTAAATATGGTAATACAATTATAGTAATAATATAATTGTAATCTTCAACAATCTCTATAATCTTCGATAATCTCATTGATATCCCTCTCAAACTGATGCTAGTAAAAGTATCAATTTGTTATCATCAACAAGCGAAAGTGACAATACTTGTGCCCACGAAGAAGAAATCCAAATCAGAGCAATCAGCTAGGAAAATTAGTGATGACAAGAGATTAAGAACAACAAATAGTGTAGAAACAACTAAGAACTACTCCAAAGACACTCCAAGAACACTAAAAAAAAAAAAAACAGTTCAGCGAGCTCACATCCCAAGAAGACTTTCCAAAAGAAATCCACGAAGTGTGCCGACACACACAGTGAACTCTATATGTCGAGAGAACTTAATCGAACACATAATTCGTGTTTCGAAAAAAGCTCTAACGCCAATACACTGACCAAATTTCCAGCAATATATCGCTGACCAAGATGCTGCAGTTTGAAGAAATCCCACAAATCAGCGTACACCAAGATAATCCTCTCCTGAGAATCCAAAAACCATCAAAGGATAATCCTCCTTTGAGAATCCAAAACTTTAGCTCATCATTCGAGCAATTAAAACACAAATATCTGCACTCTCATGTCTCTCTCATCCATATGACCCATCAATAAGGTCCACAAGTTTCTTATCGGAAGAAAATCAAGCCATATTCCAAAGCTTACACAAAATTAGCCCACAAAGAAAAGCCACAATTTATAATCCAATTGCTCATAAATCATAAGCATCTATTAAAATCTCCAACACCTAACCCATTCATTAAAAATAACAAAGCTCAAAAGAAAACTAAAATAATGAGCCCACTATAAGAAATTTAGCAAAAATAAATCTCAAGACTAAAGATGGCCCAACCGAAATAAGCCCATTACTTGATATTATTGACCCAAATTCCAAAACCCAACAAAATCAATTTAAGCTCAACACAAAGGGGAAAAAACACGTGTTCCGCCCAAACCACATAGGTACAATAAACAATTGAGGCCCAAAACAGAGAAGATCACCACCTTCGCTCTCTCATTCAACTTTCATGTGAAGTTAGCTTGTCGCAGCGATGAATCAACCTTTAGAGACGCCGGAGATTGGAACTCCCTTCAAACGGCACCAAAGAGAACCATATAGCATCTAAACAAGACGAGGCACTGCTAGAAAGAAACAAGACTTGACCATCTGCATTCGACCTGGATGAACAGAGGATCAACTATGGACGCTGACTAGCAATCGATGTCGAAAACACAAGATAGGACTATGGACGTCGGCGTAGACTATGATAAGTAGTAAATTTAGAGCAAAATAGGGGGTTTATAGGCACAGATGAAGTTACTACTTTGATACCCATGTCTATGTGACCAGGTGATGATTGACCTTTAATTACTATGTCATAAAGGGTTGACTGATGGCATCCGGACGGAGATAGCTGGAAATCACCAAGTCCAACTAAAAAGCCGATATCTAGGGATCCATTTTTGCACTTTGAAGCACTTACAAAAACAAACAAGGTAATTTGATCGGATGAGCGACACAAGGTCGCTCACTAAAGAACAGGAGCTTGCAAGTTTAACCTAAATAAAATAAAATTCGCTCTAATACCATGTCAAATATACTGAATAATATTCAATAAAATTTTATGTCCTTGATGTGAGAGGTTCTCGCTTTATATAGAATCAAAATCAGCACTAAATATGTTAGCAATCAATTACAATATTAACTAATATTAACATATAATTTAAATATAATAAAAACAATATTTCTATACATGATACAATAATAATAATAGTACTATTGTCGTAATATTCGACAATCTCTGTAATCATTGATAATCTCATTAACATCCTGTATAGATTTCAACTGTTAAATTATATCATCAAAATTTTATGCTTCCCGTTTATGTGTCTCTTTCAATTTTTATTTATGTGGGGGATTATTGGAAGAATAATTTAATTCGGATACTTTTCGCATAATTTTGAGTGCGGGATCCGTTCGTTCATTTAGAAATATCAAAGTTGATTCGAATTCCCGTGGAAATGACAAGTCAATGATGGGTTAGGACATATACATCTCTAAGAGTATTTAGAAAGAATAAATTCAAACTGATGGCATCAAATCAATATAATGGTTACATACGAATGAGTTGTCAAAAAGAGATGAGAGTTTTTATTTTTTATTTTTGTTGAAGAAATTCCGACTTAATCATATTTCACCACGTCATGTGTATGTAAACTATTATATACATGTATCATAATTGTAAATTAAATACTTGAAATTTGACCGGCTTTATTTTTTCTCTTCTATTTTTCTCTTATTCATTTAGCCCTTGATTGTGCTCCATTTTTTTAATCAAATTTGAATTTAGTAATAATAAATTTCTTGAGAATATGTTGTTAAAAAATATGGCAAGATTTGAATTTACATACAAATTAATTTATTGAGAGAATGTGTGTGTGGTTGAAAATGAATTTAAAAATAAAAATTAGACAATGGGTCTCAAACATGTCTTTATGTCTGAACTTTTTATTTCTGATACTTATTTTTAACTCCATGTTTACACAAATAAACTCAAATATTTTCTTACTTATTTTTCAAAAAATCACTTTTCAAAACATTATTTTTCTTGTATCCATTTCTATTTACAATGGTCATCAATCAGGGAATAATACTTATGACTGAGCCTTTTAAGTTTAGCCAAACACTCTTCCCTCGCCCCCTTCACACCGCTCGATGAAGACACCTAATCTCAGAGCATTCAAATCCCCAATTCACGATAGGCAAGATCCAAGATGTTACTTTGATTTGTGAATCTATTTGGGAACAATTCGAATTGGGAAGCCATTTCTTGATATTATAAATACCCTTTCAACTTCTGATCATCAGCCCCAAATCATCATGGTTGCACCCAAAATCAAGAAAATTGTAAATCAAAAACAAGAATCTAATGAGGATAAACTCAGTAGTTTACCAGACTGTATTCTGATTCATATACTGTCCTTTCTCGATACAGAATCAGCTATCAAAACCTCTGTGTTGTCTAAGCGTTACAGACTTTTGTGGACTTCGCTTCAATGTCTTGATTTCAAGTTTCATGGATGTTCTGTTGATCGTTTTTTGTCGTTTGTTAACCATGTTCTTGAACGCAGGGAACACAGCAATCTCAGTATGTTTCGTCTTTCGTTGAAAGAGCAGGTGAATTCGGGCTTTCTTGATAATTGTATTGCTTATGCGATGAAACACAAGGTGGAACATCTCAGAATCCGGGCTTACGCTGATGAGCATTCGCCATTGACATTGCCAAGTTTGTTGCTTAACTCCTCATCATTGAGAATTTTACGCCTCAATAACGTGTCATGTTGTAGTATAATGTTGCCAAAGTCGCTTGCATTGCCGGGATTAAAAGTTTTACGGCTAAAAAATTTTGTGTTTTCAGACGAAAACTATAATGGTGAACTTTTCTTGGGGTGTCCTAATCTTGAGACATTGATTTTGAATAAGTGTTCAATAAGGCCTGATGGTGAAGTCAAGGTTTTGGATGTGAAATGTTTGAACCTTAAGAATTTGGAGATAAGGCATTGGAGGAGTCCGTGGAGATGTTTTGATGAACATATGATTAGTGTAAATGCGCCTAGGCTTTGTTCGGTTAAGTTTCAAGGTCATATTCCAAATGTAGATTTCAAGGAGGATATCTGGTGTTTAGATGAAGTTTGCATTGATTTGTATTGTCCAACGGCGTGCGCAATGGTTGATGTGAGTGAGAGAAGGCGAAGGACATCGGAATTTTGTATGAGTATGCTCCATCAACTATGTGAAGTGAAGTCTCTTGCTTTGTCGCTGAACACGATTGAGGTATTTCAGAACTTAATGTTTATGCATGATAAAAGAATTCAGTAATGTCAATTCATTGTCTAAAGACTTAGATTTCTAGCACAAATTTTAGCATTGAAGGATCAAATTTAAGAAAATATCCATTTTATTGAAGTTAAAGATAGTAATTCCATTAATTGTGTTCAAATTTAAAATCATAAAAGTAGATTGTTTATATGTTAAGTTTTCCATGCAGTTCTTCTTATTTCGAACAGTATTCAGGATAATCTGTTTCTGAATATGTACTTACTTATGTATTTCGACTTTTCCTAGATTCTATCTGCCATTCCTTATTTACAAGTATATGGACCTTCTATATTTCAAAATTTGAGGTATATAAAGTTCATGGCAGAGGATAAACATACAGTGTTGACAATTCCGATTAATACTGTTACACCCTTATTGGAGGGTAACGTCTCTGAGATCACGATATTGGATTTGGACGATCCTAAGGTATAAAGCTTATCTTCTGACCTTACTTTTACTCTTACTTATGTCTTGAACTTGAAATTCAGTAAAAGATTAGATGTTGTGAGTTTATCAAATCATTAATGTAAAAAAGAATTCGAACAGACGAACCCAGATTGATTCTTGAGAGAAAAAAGGGAAAAAATCGTTTAAATTGGTTTTGCAATTACTCATTTACAGGAGCAGCAACTCTTGATAAATATTAAGCGTTCAAGGATAAATGTTATGTGCAAGGACGCGATGATCTCTATACCTATACATGTCATGTCCTACATACTGGAAAGCTCCCCTTCTGCAGAACTTTTAATTGTTGAACTCCCAAAAGGTATTTCCCATTTGAGTGTATTAAGCAAAATACACGGGATGTGGATTTATCAATTTAGTGTCTAAGATGTTTATATTTTTATCTCAGGTATCGTTGGACAAGATCTCAGGAGAAAGATGTTCACAAGAAAATCGATGTATTGGCATGCAGGGATGCAATAACAGAGTCTGTCTGTAACAACTATTTCATAAGAATGTCTTGGTTTGATATTAGTTTGTGAATTTTGTAATTTCCTTACGCTTAGCGTAACAAAAAATGTGCAGCAAACTGCAAAATCTCTCTTTTTATCCAAGTATTATAGGCAGGCTTGTGGAAGAATTAAATTCCTTTGAGGAGTTTTGAATGATGAAATTTGGTATTATATCTGACTTTCTGATTTGAGTGTTCTTACAAATTTCTTAAGCTATGCATGAAGTTGTGAATTAGACAGGACTATGGGAAATCATGTTTAGTTTTTTTGGTAATTTTTTATTTTCTTCTTCTTCTTTAAATGATACTTTGCACAATTCATCTTACCAAAATGAGCCAGAAGTAGAGCCAAATTGGAACGTGAGTATTTTCAGAAAATTAGCAAGAACTTCTCGTCTACAGAATGTATTTTCTACGGCTGCACTATTGAAAATTCACTAAAATTTATCAATAAAACCATAAGTATAGAAAAATTTTAACAGAACTTGTATTAACGCTGACGTGGCACAATATAAGTGGATTTTTTTTCCCAATGATGTCATGTCAAGTGTTGTCTGTAAAGTTTTCTAGTCAAAAAATTTCTATACTTGTAGCTTGATTCAAAATTTATTGTGACTCCTTTTAAGTTTGATTTCAGTATGATAATTGGAGCAAAGTTAGGATTCCGAGGATGGCAGACTAGGATGCACAGCACACAACACGAACATGTCTACATACGATTTTAAGAAAATTAGGACATGAAATCTTTTTCTTTATATCGTCTAAACGAGTCTAGTACTACGTACATGAACAAAAGGTTTTGCCCGAAGTTTAAGTAGGGAGGATATGATTGCTCTAGATATTATTAAGAGAAAAAAATGTTACAATTTTATTCATTACACTATCCAATCTTGTGTGGTAACTAGTGTAAAATTCGATAGCATTGCATAGTATCAAGGAAGAAAAAGAGACTTGAAATCTTTTTCGTTATATCACCTAAACATGTCTAGTACTTTGTACATGAACAAAAGGTTTTGCAGGGGACATGTAAAGGTTTTGCAGGGGACATGTAGGAAATCTAGTACAGTTTGGACAAATTCTATGCTGATTATTGATTGCAAATAGGTCATATGCTGCTCTACAAGGATGGTAATGGAGGTTAGATACGACAAGACAACAATAAATTAAGTCTTGTTTTCAATAAACTTGAAATTGACAATGTTAATTTTTTTATCCCCACTCAGTTGTTTATAGAAAATGGAAGTTAGATACAACTTCGTTGACTTAATCCATGCTGGAGTATTGAGTACGTTCGTTATAGGAAAGAAAGGTTTTGGTTACACAATACAGTAAACATGTACTGAAAAAATTCCATCGAGGGCTTTCTACCTTGAAAATAATTTGCTTCGGATATGAATTTTGAACCTTGAGAAGGATCTCATCCAAGGACTCAATAAAATATATAGTAGAGAATTAAATCTTATTCCTAATAAATTTGAAATCATTTATGTGAATTTTTCTTTTGTTGTTTCAATTCATGTAGCTAATCCCAAATTAGGGATGTTAATGACCCATATTTTTTGGGTCTTTAGGCACTCGGTCTCACCCATTTTTATTTCTTTTCCTTTTAAATGGAATGGCATGGTCAACAAGCACAACAATTTTCGAGTTTGAGCTTGATGTAATAATATATATGTTTTTCGCCTTGTAATTGTTAATTACATAAAAAGTTAATTTATGTATCAATTCTTACAGGTTCTCGAAGGCGGAGCCTCATTATGTCCAGTGCGGGCATTGGGCATATGCCAGCACTGAACTTTGAGGCTCAACCCAATAAATTACATTTTTTTAAATATTAGCAATGGCCCGCACTTAACTTTGAGGCCCAATCCAATAATTACTTCTCCTTTTTTTTTTCTTTTTTTTTTTATTAATATTAGCAATGGCCCAAGATTTGCTTGATTTTAGGCATAATTTGATTTGGGCTTCACTTACTTTTGCTTTCTGTTACTTATTTTTGCTTTCAATTACTTGATAATAACGTTATTGTACAACGATATTAAAGTATGAAAACTTGCAAGAAATACGTTTAATTATAAACTTTCATTTTTAGTATTATCGCAATTTTGTTTTATAGTTTTATCATCATTAAATTCATTGCCAAAACTCAATGTTCGACGTGGGTTAAATTATGACTATACTGAACGAATTTTCTAGCTCCGCCCCTGCATGTTTTACACACCATGGTCGTGCTACTTAGGTGCACCTCTCGTAATTACTTCTCATCTATCATCTGAGATAATAAAAACTTGCTCTATATCTTCTAATAAATTTAATAATCAAGTCAACCGGTTTTGAGTAAAAGGATAAATGCAGGTTATTAAATTTGTTGAAAACTCGTTCAAAAATTAATTTATTGAGAACATAGATAAATTTCTTTGTTGTCATTGTTGTCACCACTTGTATAAATTGAAATAAAAGTAATTCATCTAAAATCCAAATAAATACCTACAACTTCTAAGAATCTAAATACATAGTTGGTAATATTCATAATGCAACTAATACGACTTGAAAAGTTCCAATTTCTTTAGATCGACCAAGTGAATCTTGTAATGAACCTGAACTGAGCAAGGTATAAAAATAGAGTAATGCAGTTTAACCCTAAGATAGATTTAGAAATATAATTTAGACTTTTGTAGCCGACCCCAAAGATATGTGGTAAGCCCCAACTAGGGTTGTCAACGAGTCAAATCGAGCCGAGAGTAAAATTAAACAGGCTTTTTTCGAGTTCGAGTCGAGCCGAGCAAAAGTTCAACCAAAAAAACAAGGTTCGACCCGATCTTTTGACTTGGGCTTTGCCCGGAACCTAACAATTGGGCTCGACCCGAGCCACGGGCAGCCTGAGCCGATGAGCTCAATTGACATCCCTAGCCCCAACAAACTTGCCTATAATTCATCTAGAATCCAAATGAACGCCTACAAGATTGAAGAATTTTTCCTTTCTTCTTCTTGGCTTTTGACTGTGAATTTGAGTTCTTCAAGTGTTCATCATCATCGTCATCATGATCAGCAGTTAAATCACTCTGGTGATGGATTCTACTATACCCTTCAGACACTGAAGAAGATTTCTTTAAAGAAAATGACCTCTTTACCACTGTTTGAAAAAAGGATTTCTCAGTCACGTCCTTATGAGAAGGGACAGAACATTTTCTCTTCAAGATTTCTCCAAAAATCTCTCCTATGCCATCCTCAATTTCGTGTTTGGCTATATAATCCGGCATTCTGGGATAGTTTTTAGGGCATTTTTGTTTGATTTCCAGGGATTTGGGGGTGTTTTTAGCAATAGATGTTGGTGTACGAGATGGGAAAGAAAAATCAGAAAGATGTAAAGATTTTGATCTTGTTTTACTAACTTGGTCTGATTATCGAGTATGATTCACTCATTTTTTTCAAGAGAAATTGTTGGTTTGGGATGAATTTCAGTGGAATGTGAAAGAAAGAAGACGAGAGAAACTAAAATAAGAAGTCAATCATACATAGAAAAGACCCATAACATGCAAAAGTGGGGACAGAAAATAAAAAGTGATCCACGTTCAGAAGGAGATTGAGACATGCTTGACTTGCTAAAAAGTGATTTAGGGCCTGATAGGTTCCATTTTCCATGTTAGAGATTGGTTTTCCACCCAACTTTTCATGTGACCCATTTTTTCATGTTTTCAAGGAATTGATTTTCCTTCGGTTTTGATGGAAATTGATTTTTCAGATTTTTTTATATTTTTAATTTTTTTTTTGGCAATTAGAATAAATTTTATTTCCAATTGTAACAAATTAGTCCTTTTAATTGATAATTTTCATGAAAAGTAAAACCAGACGAACATCAAAAAATAGAGAATTTCAATATTTTTCAGATAAAAAATTATATCAATCAAATGCATTTAATTAACAATTTTCAGAAAAATAAATTTTAGGCAATTCAATTCCCTAGAATTCATTTTCTTTCCATCCAAATTCCGTTCTTGCAATCAAACGAACCCTCAGACGAAATGATTCAATATGGTAATAGGAAAAAAAAAAAAAGGCTTAACTAGTATACTAAATATACTTTATTACATGTTTACCGATGTCAAAGCTTTACAATCAACCTTACCAAACAAGTCATAAATGTATGTTTTAGTACGTGGGATTTGTTCAATAAAGGGCTTCTATATACTATCTTATTTAGAAGATGTTTGGCAAGGATTAAATTAGATTTTTTTAGTAAATAGTAATAAAAGTTTTTGAAATGTATAGTTAAAAAGTTATATGATCTATGAAAAATGTGACTAATATTAATTATTTAATTTTGACTTGGATTAAAATCAGATTTTAATCAAAATCAAACAAGCGCTTAGTCTTATCCAATCCAACGTGTATTTTGGTAAATAGATATTTGCACGATTTTAATCAGACAAGCGCTTAGTCTTATCCAATCCTCAAAATCAGACAAGCACTTAGGCTTATCCAATCCAACATGTATTTTGGTAAATAGATATTTGCATTGCAGTAGGTACATGTTCGTCATCTCATTAAAATATGAATATTATAACAGTCATAACGCCATTGTAACTTTTTATGACATTTATTTGTCACAGTTTCACATGGCAAAAATAAAGCGAGAAATGGTAGTTGAAGTTATGGCAAACTAATTTCGATGTCAAAATAATGACACATTTAAATTTGACAATGCAGAAACAGTTCAACTGTAGATGGGCTTTTCCTTTAAGTTATACCTTGGACCGTCATACGAATTATCGAAAAACTATAAACTTTTGTATGTACGTATTGAACATTACGTTATTTATAAGTAAGAGAGACATATCCAATCCAACATGTTATAAGGAGTTCATATTATATATGAATGATTGAAAATTTTACATGAATGATTGAAAATTTATTTCACTGCTTGCTTTTGATCCGGTTTTGGAGTTGATCGGCATTTGCTTTGGATATGAATTCGAACCTTGAGGTCTAAGGACTCAATAAAATATAACGTAGAGAATTAAATCTTATTGTTAATAAATTATGTGAATTTTTCTTTTGTTGTTTCAATTCATGTAGCTAACCCCAAATTAGGAATGTTACTTTAGGCACTTGGTCTCACGCATTTTTTTTTTTTATTTCTTTTCCTTTTAAATGGAATGGCATGCTCAACGAGCACAACAATTTTGAGT